TTAAAAACAAAATTAAACAAGATTACCTTAAGGATCTATTATATTGAAAGTCATCACCTACAATGAATCAATACACCGAAACCACTTTTTCTTTTTTTAAGAAAAAGTCATTCAGAGCTTAGTTTCTAAGACGATATTTCTTCAGAAACAATCTAACATCTTAGCTATTTAAAGGCCAGATTTACATGACCACCTCATTATACTGGTGCCCCTTCCTTAACATTCTTCTTGACTTACTTGAAGGACCAATGCTAACATAGCTGCGGAAAGCAAATGGCAACCGGTCCTGAAATTTATCCGGGTAGAATATTGGAATAAGTAGCAATAGAACATATTGTTTACTGTAGCAAATGCCCTCTGTTCTCTAAAGGTCAAAAACACAGTAACCTTAGAGTTGCAGTTTCTGATTGTTCCCAGGATTAAAAACATTATCAAAATTAATGGTTCAAGCCCCTCAACCTTCAGATATATGAGTATTCATGACTCCATCTGCTGAACTGTTCAACTAAAAATAGCATTCTTTGGCGCTTTCTTCTAATTTTGTGTCCCTGAGACAGAAAAAAAACCATGCCTTAGATTAGCTCAGAAAACCAACGATGTAAAAAGAAATATTTTCCGCATCTTCTTTATTCCAGAGAAAGACAGAACTGGAACGTACTAATGTAAGAAGGGTCTTTCCATTTCAAACATCTTCTCACTACTTGATAACAAAATGTTGGGCTTCCAGGGTATGCCCATAAACACTGTTAAGATTTATTCAGGCTTCTAACTGTTAGCAGTAACAACCTTCTAAGGACTGCAACCTTCAGATAGGATCAGTGCTGAGCAATGCAGCAGGGCGGGTGTGGGGGTGGTGGTGGTATGTACGTATTGTAAACTTTATTTTTATTCTTTTACTAAAAATCTCTGTTTAGAAATAAAACAAGTTAACATACTTGCAATGCTTCCTCAGTATCAACAGTTTGTCATGATAATGATTGTTGGAGCTGTGACATTTTAGCTTGTCAAAGAAGGGGAGAAAACCTGAGCTAGAAAAAAAAGCAGACTTTGAAATCAATAAAGCCAGCTATTATTAAATCTCCTCTCTAGTGTTGCTCAAGACTTTACATGTTAATGTCTGTAGCAGCTTCAATAGGAGTGTCTACTCTGCTGTTCATAAACGTCCCAATAAACATGTTAGACTAACACCTGGAAAGTTTAGGCCAGTGGTCAGCAAACTCATTAGTCAACAGAGCCAAATAGCAACAGTTCAATGATTGAAATTTCTTTTGAGAGCCAAATTTTTTAAACTTAAGCTTCTTCTAAAGCCACTTCAAAATAGATTCAACCAGGCCTTGGTATTTTGTGGAAGAGCCACACTCAAGAAGCCAAAGAGCCACATGTGGCTCTTGAGCCACAGTTTGCCGATGGGTTTAGGCAATCTGCCTTTTCAACAAGGTCAAGCTTTTCTAAGCAGGGTACCATACAAGCAAACAGAACAAAGATTTCCTAACATGCAGGAAAAACTTGCAAAAAAAAAAAAATGGGAGCAAGAAAACAGAGCAAGGATAAACAGAAACCCAAGAAATTCTCTCAAACTAGCCCAAACTCGAACTGCAACGCAGTGAGGGCTCCTGCTTATTGAGTTCTCTATTTAGCTCAGTAAAAATGACAGGCGTTGGCCTATGTTGTGCTTCTCGATCAGCATCGCCCAGATCTGCCCTCCCATGTATGACATTATGGCATCAAAGCCCGACAGAAGCCAGACTCTACAGCATCAGGGCCAGTGATGCTGTGACAGAAAGAAGTCAACTTAAGTGACTTGGGAAAAATTAGTAAATGAAAATCTGGGTAGAAAACCAGCTAAGAGAAGGTTGATGGGATAAATCTCAACACTTCAGGAGAACATAAACATCAAAGAGGAGAGGAAGGTCACCTGCTTTCATATTCTTTCAAGCGCTTAAAAGTTTAACAAACTCACCGTCCTTGAGAGGGTAAGCCTGCTGTTTCACCTGGAAAGCTTCTCCTTCATGTCCTGTGTCTATTTAGAAGTCAATCCCAAACATAGATTTTCAGAATGTCCTGAGATATGGTATCTTTTCTACATCCTAAAGCCTTAAGAGAGAAACCCTTTCTGGCTGTATAGCAGACAGCAGGCACTGAGAGTCTATGCCTGGTCATGCCTGGGTGGAAACCCCCATAGAAAGCATATCAAAAGGAACGGGTGGGAGCAAGGGGGCAGGGCGCTCTGGAATTCTTCCCTAGGCTGTTTCCAAGCTGGCCTTTAATCTTGCCCTCTTCTTTCTTATCTGGAGTAAATGTTATCATTTTCCAGAAATGTAGATTCAAAAGCAGTGAAGAAGTCACATGGACACTTTATTGAATAGATAGTATGCAATACGTATAGCTTGCAGAGCCAACAGAAGCTGAATATACAATGTTGGCCAGCTGTAATGACTTTCTGTTTTTATTTTTTTGAATTGAGTTTCCTATCCTCGGTTAGAATATAAAATGTAGTATTACATCTAACCAAGAAAGTCAAAGTGTGTTTCAGTCTGAGGTAATCTCTTTCCTTTTTTTTTCTTCTTCTTTTTAATGCAAAAGCTAGCTGGCAACTCGCTAGTACCTGAGAGTCCCAGAGACCAATGATATAGAAAAGGAATCAGGCACAAAATCAGAGAACAACTAGGTCCCTGTAGAAGAAAATGACTTGGTTTGCAAAAGAGCCATATAAGCCATCTTCTCCCAAGTAGTAAGAATAACACACACACACACACACACACCCCAAAAAACTAAGAGCTTTCCTGAAAGTTAAATATGAAAGGAATACTATCAAAATGTATGACGCAAAAAGCAACCAGCCAGGCCCAGGCACCCATCCCTACTTCAGCCTGATAAATCTAAGTTAAGAAACCTGAATTAGGTAGAGTTAGAAATCCTAGGTAAAAACTTTGACTCCAGGAATATTTTGTAGCCTTGGTTAAAAAACTTGACCTCTCTGAACCTCTGTTGGTTATCTGTATAAGCTGGACCGTATTCTATCAACTTCACAGAGCTTTATGTGGTCAAATGAGATTTTTGTAATGTTTAAGTGTGTGTGTTTTTTGACATTATTTGTCACTATACATTTTAAAAAGTAAAAATAAGTAAAGAAAATAAAGATGGTTTGAAAACACACATAATGTAAAAAATTTGCCTAAGTACACATATAGGAATAAACAACTTAATTCAGGGGGCACTGGCTTAACATCTGCTTTTTTTTTTTTTTTTTTTTAGAAAAGGAGCAAAAAGGAGCCTTCTTAGGAATTAGAACTAGGAAATGATTATGTTGCAGTATTTAGGTTTTGTGTTTGCCACTTTTGAAAAAGCCTAGAACATGACTGAACAATCCAGTCCCCCACCCAATGAAGCACCAATGGAAGTATTCATACCTCAATCTGTTTGTGGTTGTAAGAGTGGCCACCACCATGTTCAAAGGTGTCCAAACTCCTGCCAAAACGGTCACTTAGGCCCTTTAGCCTTGGGTTAATTTGTGGGTGAGTGACATGACCCTTCTGTTTAGTAGCGTAATCAGAAAAAAAAAAGAAAAAAAAAAAAAGACAAAACACACTGTCAGAACTCATGAAACAGGACACATATTTCTAAATCCAGGGTATTGACCACACCAATGCATAGAAAGCAGATGGTTTAGGACCCAGATGTTCCTTCATAGAAACTTGGTACTTGTCTCTAAGATCAAACAATGGTACTTATTCTTATTCCTACCTCTGAATCAAGGGTACACACTCCATAGCTAGCTATCTAAAAAGGAGAAGTAGGTTCAATTTCCTAGTAGTGAGGTATTTTTTAGAGTTCACCAATTCAGTAAGTTCCAGTATTAGTAGTGGGGAAGGAGAAGGCTTGGAAGAGATGTAGGGTTGCTACTCTTATAGGCAAAAACTTTTATTTCTGCTGGGCAGTGCATAACAAGGCTTTCTGGATGAGGCTTAGGATAAACACTCAAAGTCTTGCAAAAATTCTTACTTGACCACCCAATTGAAAATGGTCAAAATAATGTTTTTTTCATGGTAAAATATTTGTACATTTTTTTAATGTTGAGGTTATGTAGGGAATAGCAATGAAGAAAGTAAAATGCCTAGCCAGGTGCTATCTCCTAGATTATTTAAGAAAACTAAAAAATAATCACAATAAATTGGAAGAATACAATACTATCTTTAAACTCTCCACTGTATTGAAATGAAAGTTGACTGGTATCACATATTTTTAAATGTTTAAATTCTGAAGGTTTAACCACTATTTTAATATTATGTTTTTGCTAAAAATATATACTCATTTAAAGTCAATTTCCCACTAAAATGGCAGTGTTGGAAGGGTACAAAGATCACCTAGTCCCACCTAGAAACACTTCATTTTACTGTGAAGAAGATATGGTGCAGATGATTTTTTTTTTCAGCTTCCTAAACACTTTCCCCCGAGTTTAGCTTTTAAGTAAAGAACTTGGTCAGACATCGTGCCCAGACTTTCAACCTGGAATGAGGAAGAGGATGAAGTGATGACACACATGCTCAGGTGCAATATGTTTACATCTTACTAAGGAGCTAACGTAATTTGTTAATAATGACCACCCCCTGTTCTATGAGCTGCTAGAAGGAAAACATCCAACACTGTTTTCTGTTTTGATGCTTATATGTAAAAGCTAATATGACATAAACTAAGACAGGAGTGGAAAATTGACAAGGAGAAAGATAATATGGCCACGAACAATCAGCCATAAAGAAACTGTAAAACCGTGAACTCACCTGATAGAGAATATCAAGTCCTAAGTCATCGTGTCATTTGTCCTTTAAAAATATTGAAACTGGCACTTTGCTATTTGCAGCACGGTAAGTACATAAGGTGTTAATCCTCCCAGGCTATGCTTAAAAAACTATTTAACATTTGGGCCATTATTTAGCATACAGCTGGTTAGCAGTTTTCCACTAGAGCACTGGCGAGCTCCCGCATATTCCTCTGGCACTTACCTGAAGTTGTAAAGGGCTGAGGCCCGAAGCGGCAGCAGCTGCCATTGTTGATGGAATGAACTGTACGGGGTAGTTATCACCTGTCGGAAAGAACAATGCGCACAGGTTTAGACAATGCGCGGGGAATCTCAGCAGACAAGTACAAACATGGCCCCGGGATTGCCTGAGCTTTACGACGTTGCTCTAAGCCCAAACATCTGCAGAAACAAAAGGCTTCGTTGGGCACAGACTTGCAGTGCTGCCTTGGAACTTTTTTGTTAACAGATAGCTGGTAGGCAAACTGGCAAAACATGAATGTGATGTTAAAAAAAAATTTAATGTGCAATTCAAGCATGTTCACTCCATTACAAATCTTGTAATACATCATTTTTTTAAGAGTAAAAAAAATATCTTAAAGCCAAGGCTGACACTCCGTTCACTAAGAAAGCATTAAGGCTTTTGTGTTAGAACAACAAAACCTGGCTGGGTAAGCAAGGCCTCAGAGCGTTCGAGTCCCCCAAAAAAGATTATCATCTGTTGACTGTCCATAACCCTAAGCTATACTTATTTTTTAAAAAAACAGAGAAAACATTTCTAAAATGCAACTTCTTCAATCTGATAGCAGTGAGAGGGAATCTCATCTTATCTGGCAACATTCTGTGAAATGCCTGGTATCCCCAGGGGGGTGGAAAACATCATTTTTTCTGGGTTAATTTCTGTGGAGCCTAGAACAGAACCATGCACTCCAGGTACTTATCGCTTACTCCTTGATGATGTGATTACATAACCTCACGTTTTACATGGACTATCTCCTTTGAAGTTCAGAAAATACTGAGCGTGGTTCAACAGCGGTCAATGCCACATCCTAACTTGTTTCTGACGCCAGGCCTCTCCTAACTAGGGGGACGGAGGTGCCGACAGTGACCTAAGAGCACAGGCTGTGTGCAGCGACCAGAGGGACCAGGAGAAAGCAATGAGGACTGTGTTGTGATCGTGGTAACTGAGGTAAAAAAAATGAATACTTGTGGATAAATCACATAACATCAGGGATTACATGGAGCATCACTTTGGCTCCGGCCACTCATTTAAAGTCAGTGTCCCGTACTATCTCTGGGCTAAATTTTAATAGGCTGTTCCTTCACACATTTTTGACATTTCTAATAATCATGCTGTTTTTGCATGAACTTTTCCACACTGAACACTGAATGTGTAATGAAGGGACGGTGTAGAAAGAATCACACTAACAGTGGCAGTCAATTGGAAAGCAACCAAACCTCTTGGTTTTTTTCTGCATGGACACGAGTACCTGGAGCCTTTCTGATGCCCCTGCTTCCCTGGGCCGCATCCTGCCCGCCACACAAAGGGCTCCTCAGCTGGCCCAATGTGCATGTTAAGTCACTTTCACTTTTAACAAATTGTTAGCTTCTAATCTGCACAGTCTCTTTGCATCATATCCGTAATACCTCATCAGACCATTGAGCACAGTGTGTGCTCGTGTGCAGTCCAGTAACAATTGGCTTCTGATTGCATACGGGCGCTGCTACAATGCACTCACTAGCACTATGCTGTGCTGGTCTCCTATGGAGTAATGTTCAAAATATCTGATCTTGTTTTTCCCCTTCCATGAGGTTGATTTTGGTTTGCAGGGCTGCATGAGCTTTTCAAAAAAGTTAACTAGGCCAAATTATTTTTTTTGTAGTAAGTGACTGTCGCTTTATGCTTAAGTAATTCTACTGATCTCCTTGATATTTAAACTAAATTATCGGATGAAAGAATATTCCTATCTAAGTCAAATAGCATTTCTTCGGTTGGTTTCTGATCAGGTTTTAAAAAAATCGCAAAAACGATGCTGAATTAATGATGCTTCAAAAATAGGGTGGGAAAAAAAATCACCATTCCAACTATCAACATGGACTGCCTCCTGGAACATTTTAGAACGATTCTTTCTTTAAATATCATGCATTATTCATACTAACGCTAAACCACAACCCCCGCCCCTCCCTGTAAGTTTAATACCAGTTGCTTTATTTGTACTAAAACATTTTTCATGTCAAACATATTTTAAAAAATCAAACTCTAAAAGAATTCCCTGGGGCACTCCTTTTTTCATAGCTGTCATGCTTCCACGCTATGAAATAGCTGAGGTTTTTTTTTTTTTTTTTTTAATAGTTTTTGGCTTGCTAGTTAATTTATTACTATCTCTACCACACCCTGTAGTACTCTCTCCAGCTCACCTGCTGGCTACAAACAGCTCTCTTTCTGCTGCTTGACAAGCTTACTTTTAAAGTGTTTCTAACTTTGCTGCTGGTTTGAATCTGTACGTTTCAATATAATCTTTGCAAAGCTATTTCTCCAGGACATATCATTGTATCGATATGAAAAGTGATGACGAATACATTAGAGTAACTGATTATTAAAGGAAAATGAATACATTAGAGCAACAGTGATTATCACAGAAAATAATTAGGAGAGAGAGAAAAAGGAAAAGTCAAGAGAAGGAGAAGATAAAGGTGAAGAAAGGGGGGCATTATAAGAGTAGAAGAGGAAACTATAAGAGGGAGAGGGATTTAGGGTGTTGGGGAGTTTAAATTTTTTTTTTTTTTATAACAAAGTTATGTGCTCTCCCCAACCCCCTTTAATTTCCTCCGTGTAAGAGTTGATCAAGAAGAAGTTCTCAGTGGCTGACTTGGCAAGGAATCAGTCAACATGTTGTAGCAATTTTTTTCAAATTTGTCTCTGGATTTGAAATGCTTGCGTGAGCACCCATTCTTTTAAATTTGTACAAAGGAAGATGAAGCCTGTTGGGACAGGTTGGCTTTAGGCGCTGCCGTGCTCAGACTCTGGCTCCTGCCACCTCTGGTGTTCGAAGACAACCTCCAAGAGATCGTCTGGGAAAGAATGCCCATTCTGCAAACCCCTCTCTCCAGCCTTCTAGATTTTTCCAACTGACTACTTTTACCTGAGGATTACAGAACACATACGAAACAGGATTTGAAACCTATAGGACGTTTGCCTAACATTCGTTTCACTTGTCACACTGAGTAACATTCCTTTGCAATCAAAGCAGCTCCACAGCAAGAGTCCCTGAGTGACAGAAAGAACATTGTGTAATTTTCAGGGAAAACTAAATGAAGCCAAATTTATTAAGACTTAATTACAGGAGAAAGGGGATCTAGGACTCAGTCTACCTCTTACAAAAATACTCATAGTTTGTGTAATTCAGATAGAAATTCCACTTTTATTAGAGAGTCAAAACTCCTGTAGGTAAAATTCTATCCATTTAGTTTGATTCTTCAGAAAGACAAGGGACTGGGATGATTGTGGTCTTCTGAGATATTCACTTCAGATATTAACCTATTAAGAGAATCATTTAAAGAGCTTGGGAGGAGTAGAGAAGAAAAATACATTAAAGTGGGAGACAGGATTCAAAGATTCTTCAGTTAACTGGCTCAAAGTCTCACGCCTTACTTTACACAGAAAGAAAAATTCACTACACGACCCTAACACTCTCACAGATTATTGTGTGGTGGCATCGTAAGTTGATGGCAAATTACTTGAGTTGCCAAATAACTTATATATAGACTCCACTTTTAGAAGCTATCATCATTCTTGCTACAATGTAGAAATAGTTCAATCACTATCATCAATATAGACTTGGACATACCACTTTGCATCTTGCCTGGATGTATGAATTCAGAGTAGCAAAATATTACACTTCATCTATATTCTAAAAAATTGCCATAATCAATCTGAATTTATCTTTGTGAAACATCACATTGCAGCAAAAGTTAGCAGGTAATGGATGACTCTTAGAATCCTAAAAATAGAACAAAACCTTCCATTTGTTCTGAGGACAATTCGACAAACAAAAAAAATTTGGCAAGCATGCTCTTATTTCTCCTGCTAAATTGCCCCTTCTCTGTTCATTAAAGAATAGATCAATAATGAGATAGATGAGCCTTGATCTTAGGAGTTTTTCTAAGAGTATCTGCATGTTTTTTTTATATTTTTAAATATGTTTTTATTGATTTCAGAGAGAAAGGGAGAAGGAAAGAGAGAGAGAAACTTCAATGATGATAGAGAATCACTGATTGGCTGCCTCCTGCATGCCCCACACTGGTGATCAAGCCTGCAACACAGGCATGTGCCCTGACCAGGGAATCAAACCACAAACTCCTGGTTCATAGGCCGACACTTAACCATTGAGCCATGCTGGCCAGGCTATCTGCATTGTTTTTGATACCTTCAAAGAAGCTAAGAATCAAGAATCAGTCTTAATTTCTTGATCTATTTCATAGATGCATCCACACCTCTGACTGATATATAAAAATCCATGGAATTTGTCACAATAGCAATTAAATAAGTGAGTGTGGATGAACTGATATAAATCCACCCCCATTATAAGAAATGAAATTATAATACCAACTCAGTTTATGCCTTAGTGTTAGCTCACCAATGATATAGACTCCATTTATGAAGGAGGAATAGTTAAAATAATCTCCATAAAACCAGATTAGTTTACATGGATAAACAGTTTTTCTTCTTGGACTTCAAAAATTTTATTTAAAAATTAGGGCACTAATATGAAGAAACTAAGAGGCTTTGATTTCAAGTAGATAGATTTAATCAAGTATTCTGGCAACAGTGGTTACACACCTATGATTTAATTCTGGAAGCAGTAGAAATTCCAGCTTTATAAGATGTCATTTGGGAAACCCCATGCATATAAATCACTTTTTTTTTCTACAGAAAAAGCAAACACTAGATTTTTCTTAATGCCATCCACACTTATACCATGTCCATAAGGGTGTAAAATATCAAATCAGAGAACCAGTCTGGATTCTCTCTCTGCTAATTCCTAGATGGGAGTGCTTAGAAAAGTTAATCAATGTATTTGACTTTCTTTTTTCTCAAGGAGCATCTTTTATTTTATTTTTATATTTAAATCTTTATTATTGACACCCTTCACCCCCATTGACCTCTTCTAGCTTTCCTGCCCCAGCTTCAGGCCTTCACCATCCTATTGTCTGTGTCCATGGGTTATGAATACCAGTATATGCATACAAGTTCTTTGGTTGTTTGACTTTTTTTTTCTTTTCTCTTCTAACAAAATAGAAATAATGCTACTTTTATATTATAATTATTATGAAAATTAAATTAGAATATATATTATATTTATATAATTATTTTATATAAATGCTTATTTCATTTATTTACTAGTATATAAAATGTATTATTTATATGTTTATAGACAAATAAATAGTGCTCAATAAATTCTAAATGAAACAAAGGAATTAAAAAGAAGCATTAGATAACAATTAAGAAAATCTAGAAGAAATGGAGAAATTCTTGAAAAACACAAATTACTTAAATGGATTTGAGAAAAAGTAAAAAATACAAACAGAATTATAATAGGTAAAGAGACTGGATCAGTAATCAAAATCTCCCAACAAAGAAAAGTCTTAGATCAGATGGCTTCACCAGTAAGTTTTATTGAATATTGGAGAAAAAAATGTTCCCAAAATCTTCAACGAGAGAGAGAGAGAGAGAGAGAGAGAGAGAGAATTCTTCCTAACTATTCAGTAATGAAACCAACATTTCCTTGATTCCAAATCCAGATAAAGACATCACAGGAAAATAAAAACACAAAAAACAGACCAATATCTCTTATGAATATAAATACAAAGATCCTCAACAAAATATTAGCATATTGAATCCAAAAACATGTTAAAAATATTATTCACTACTAGAGGCCTGGTGCACAAAATTCATGCATGGTGGGGGGTTGTCCCTCAACCCAGCCTGCACCCTCTTTAATCTGGGACCCCTCTTATAATCCAGGACTGCTGGTTCCCAACAGCTTGCCTGATTGCTCCTAACTGCTTCTGCCTGCCCACCTGATAACACCCTAACCACTCCCCTGCCAGCCTAATTGCCCCTAACTGTCCTCCCCTGCAGGCCTGGTCATGCCCAACTACCCTCCCCTACTGGCCTGCCACCCACAACTGCCCTCCCCTGCAGGCCATCTTGTGGCAGCCATCTTATGTCCACATAGTGGCAGCCATTTTGACCACATGGGGGTGGCCATCTTGTGTGTTGGAGTGATGGTCAATTTGCATATTACTCTTTTATTAGACAGGATGACTAGGTAATATTTATCCCAAGAATGCAAGAGTGGTTCAACATCTAAAAGATTCAGTATAATACATCATATTTATAGAACAAAGGGGGAAAACTCCCACTCAGTTATCTCAACTGATGCCTTTGACAAAATCTAATAACCATTCATGATAGGAAAAATCATCTCAGAAAAGTAGGAATACAGGAAAAGTTCATAAACATGCACAATTCCTGTGGACAACACTCCTCAGTAAGCCGGTGAGGTGGGGGAGCTTGCTTGCTGTTCACTGTGCACAGGAACCCTGCAATGCCCAGAGCAATGAGAAAACTATCTGAAGGGAAAGTCCCAGAGCCCTAAATATGTTAGCTTAGACTCTGCTAATATGGGTTCAGAAACAGACAACTTCCAGGTGAATATCACCCCAAGGAGAGGCTGGCTGTCTAGCAATAAAGATGATTATTCGATCAGCTGGCAGCATAGACTCTCTGGAACCGTTTTAGGTTATGGGAAAGTAGAAAAGGGGAAAAAAGAAAGTCCTTTATTTTATAACTTATGAAGACCAAGGTAGCGTTTGCACAGCCTCTTGCTTAGTGGACCAAAATATCAAGTTATGTGATCGTTGCACAGCTTTCATATGTGACAAAACTCCTCTCTTCTAAAAATGTAGTCATTGTCTCATGTGTATTTCAAGTGAAATTACCATAGCTCAGTTTACAGCAGAAAAGTTTTCTTACTCCAGACTCTGATCCAAATTCAGACTCTGGTCCAGAATTCTCCTCCCCAAATTCAGGTGAATGACAAGATTGAATAGATTAAGTCTCCTGAATATGTGATTTAACTTCAATAGGGTATTTATATATATTTATATATATTTATATATATATATATTTATAAATAGGGTATTTATAAAATTTATATTATATAAATTTTCAGAACAAGTTATATACGCTATGGAGTTAATTGGGGTATACCCCAATTAACTCCATAGCGTATATAACTTGTTCTGAAAATTCTGCTCTAGAAAAAAAAAAATCAATGTTTAGCAATCCAAATACACAACTGTCTTTCACTCAGGTGTTCAAAAAAACCTTTTATACTAAGGATCGATTTTTTTTTTTTTAATTTGAGAAATTTTTAAAGTCAGTTCTTAAATTAATCAATCCATTAACGTCTCTATTCTTTAAATCATTTGAGTTTTCACACACATCTTACCTTGCCTTACAAGGAAGGGTATACTCGGCCAAATGCAAAAGAGTCATCAATAGCAGCAAGCAGTTAAAATAGATAGCAAAATTCACCAAGTTTGTTTTTATGCTACTTAGTAAACTTCCTTACCAAACATTTTAGTAGAGTGATTTATATTTTATTAGTGTTTTAAGCATATTAAAATACCTTTGTTCACTTTGTAAACCCCACACACACACAAAAAAACTCTGCTGCACTCAGATTTGTTACACACAGATTTGGTGGTTAATATAAGCAGGTTAATATGTTAAAAAGAACTTGACACAGAAATTATTAATGAGTAGAACAAGGTCACTACTTCTGAGCTGAGGTCACTTACAAAGAATGCACAAATGAAATGAAGGTTGACTTTTATTTACTTGACTATCTTCTTACATTGGATTCCTTTGGCAACATATCTTTAAACATCCAAAGCCCTGTTTACAAGGAGGCTCCGAAAGAAGCTTCAAACCATTCTGTGTCCCTAATTGAATTCCCTAGGAGCCCAGTAAACTCAGAGGAATAAAGAAAAATCACAACATTTGCTAAATCATCTCAAAACATATTTCACTGCAAGGTTATGTGACCTGTTTTTTGAGGTTCCAAGATGAATGAGAAAATACTACTGAATGTTTCCTTATTTAGACTAACATCAAAAAGAACTTTAGCTATTAATGCTAAGTTAATTAAATCAATCCAGTTTTAATTCTTCTTCCAAGAGAAATCAGACAACAACTAATAACAACATTTTATATTGTACGTGACCACTCGGCCTGAATATAAAAGCTCTCGGGAAGGAAAGCATCTGTAACCAAAGACAATTATTCACAGTAAAGGTATGAGACAGAGCTAATAAAAATGTGTAATCGCCCCTAGGAAAAGTAGCACTTTATCTATGAATTAAAAAAAAAATCAAGTAGAAGGAGAGAAAGTAAAAGTTTTTAGCAACCAATTAGTTTATTAACATGTCACCTTCCCAATTAACTTCCCAGTTCTAATTTTACTTTTAAATAAGCTTTTCATGATCTTTGTACTCCTAGTTCTTTCATGTGCTCCAGTGTTTGTTGTGACTACTAAGCAAAAACATGTGGATTTTAGCATTTCCAAAAGAATGTTAAACCCCTCTCTACTTACCTGGTTTGTATGTTATTCCAGGGGGGAAGAGGAATCCCTGCTGGGCAGCAGCAGCTGCTGCCAGGGTCCGCTGGTCATGTGGAAAAATTGGGATCATGAGCGGAGGCATGTGACCCTGAACCTGCTAAACAGAAGAGAGCCTATGATCAGACAGAGAGCAAATGTATGCCAAGAAGTATTTGTTTTTCACTCCTGGTGGTGTGTGGGTACCCAAACAGCCACCCACCTCCAACCTCATTCCACATATGCTCCCTCAGAAAACTTGCATTCCACAAGTCCCCTCTCTGAGATTCCATTAGCACAGCAAGAACATCACCTCCTTGTGAATTGCCTTCACCCCGGCTTCCATAACTAAATTGCAGTGACTGGTTTTCTTTTATCTTAACTTTATTTTTCCTTTTTTAAAAAACAAAGAAATACATTGCTTCTCACATTGCACAGTGTTTAAGGTTTTACCCTTACGCCAGCTTTGCATCCTGGGCTTTATTTTGAAAACAGTATTTAGCATCCTTGGGCAGAAAATAATGTCTAATTGTTATGTATTCCAAAAGCTGTGTCTCCCCAGTTAGGTGTCTTATTTCAAAGCCTCACTGCATTATGTGAAACATATAGCTCTTCAGATTTAAGGCTTACTCCATCTTGGCTCCCAATTAAACTAATATTCTTTGCCATACTCACCTCGGTGTAACATATAAATTGCTTGTCTGGCTAAGCAGTTTTACAGCTTTATGCACTACCATGTAGCTCGGTAATTATGGAGTTGTATTCAGAGAGCATTTCATAATAAATCCTACTACATCAAATTTCATTTGACCTCAATAAATGTATCAAAGAGCACAAAAATGCAAAATAGAAAATCTTCACTCTCTATATCAGTATTTGTATTCCATATAAAGAAAGCGAGTGCTATGACAGAATCATGCCCGTGGAAATCACACTTTAATTTCCCAGCTCCCTCCTTTCCTGGAGGCATGCTGCCCCTGGTTCTCCAGAGCATCCCAGGAAGGTTTAGTCTTGGCTTTCAGGGCCTGATTCTATAAGTTGAACTACGGGACTTTTGTTATATAAAGGTCAAAAATAGTGTATTAACAGAAATGATCTTTTAGTTCAAACTGGGTTTTTGGCCTCCTTACTAGTATAAGAAGGCTACATGATATTCTATTTAAGATGTAAACCTTTACCTCTAATTCTACCAGCCCCAAACCTTTCCCCGGTTTAAATTCCTAAATCTTCTCTTCAGGCAGAAATCCACACACTTGCTGGCGACTCTGTTTAAAGAGCACTAACTTGCCTTGTCCTATCCTTGTTTCCTCCACAGCCAAGGACATGGTGCAAAATGCTTCTGTGTGGGTCTAAGAGGTTTCATTTACCAACAGTTTTTCTCTAGGGAAGGCCCTATGATGTGGGTTAATAAAGGGCAAGCAAAAAATAAACACTTTACAGTATTTTTCTGAATTCATTTCTCAGGAAAATCAACTTATAATAAAAAGGTCTTTGTGCAATTACTACCTTGCCAGTGGGGCGTGAAAGAAACTAGCTTTAGGCAGCTATTTCTTCCATTTTAGCTGAGGTAAGCCCAAGTTTTGTACAGGAGAGTGCAAACTTAGCCCGCTTAAATTGGAGCTGATCCCCTAGTGCCCAGGTCTTGCCTTTAACCCTGAAAAAAAAAAAAACTCTAAGTTTGCTTTCAACCCCAGCTGATTGTGACCCGATGCAAATCTGAGATGTCAACATTGAGGGCACTGTGCTATGACAGAAAATAAAACATGGTATTCTTTGAGGGTGACTATTGCTCAGTGCAAGAGCATATAGAAGGAAATAATTTCATTTACTCCTAGAAATATGGTCCTCTCACATACCCAGCACATAGCACAGATGCTTCACTCTCTAAAAAAGGGGAACAAAAAAGTGAGAAGTCTAAGTATCATATTTATTTAATCTTTTCTTCTGTCATTTAACAAATATTTATTACATTTATTTATTTATTTATTTATTTATTTATTTGTATATTTATTTATTTATGTATTTTAATCCTCACCCAAGGATTAGATTAGTTTTTAAGAGAGAGAGAGAAAAAGAGAGAAAGAGAGAGAGAGAGAGAGAGAGAGAATGTGAGAGAAAAATCAATTGCTTTCCTCCTGTATACACCCCAACCAGGGAACGAACCTACAACCTAGGCATGTGCCTTGACTAGGAATCAAACCTGCAACCTTTGGTGCTTGAGACAATGCTCCTACCAATGAGCCACCTTAATAGTCATGGCTATGAGGTTGTTATTATGTGTGACAGATCTTCAGAAGTAACTGGGGGAAAATGGAGGCCATTTAGCTTGGATAGAACAAATATGTTATATTCAAATGTTTGAAGGAATGATATATGGAAGATGAACCAGATTAAGTCTGAGCAGAACTAGGTTCAAAAGAAAGAGATTTAAGGGAAGTTTAATGCAAAGAATTTTCTAATAGTGAGTTCTCCAACAATCAGTGATGAAAGAGCGTGTGTGCCATTTCCCTAGCGGTGGTCAAGTAAAGGCTGCACACCTCCATGTGAGAAATTCGTGAAAGGACATATGAAACTGAAATCCTGATTAGGTAATGATCTATAGAGGCTTTGCAACTTGATAATTCTATGGTCCTTTAAGAGTCAACATTAGGAAGATAATGCAACCTAGCCATTCTTTCAGCCATTCCACAGATAATTTATTCACAATCTACTCTGCTTACAAAGGCTTTGCTGCCAAACAATCCGAGCTTACATCTGTATACTGCCTTTCTGTTGGCTGTGTGATCTTGAACACTCATTTAACCTTCCTGAGTCTATTCTGTCATGTAAAAAGCAAAGCCTGTGATACTACCTTACATGGTTATTGTGAGGATTAATTGACAAGGAAAGTCACACTTGTGGCACAGTGAGTGGCACATAATATGCACTCAGTAAGCGTTAGGTCTTTGCTCTCTCTTCAATACAGCTTGAATATACAGTACTAGAAAATTATCAATTTTCTGATAAAAGGAGAAACAGTAGGTCTTACCCATAACTCTAATTCAAAAAAGAAAACATGAACCAACTAAATAATTCCATTTGGCAGGCCGAGGCTTGTCATGTTCTTGGCAGACACCACACCTCACAGAGCATTATCCCATCCCAAGAATCAAGAAAACCGTGAAAAAGAAGAGGTGGATTACTGGGATCATTTGAAGATGTAATTATTCATTAAGCAGCATGTTAGGAGGAAAACATAATTTTATTTCCACGGTGCCCAAGCTCTTCATATCATAAGGGATCAATGGCAATTAGGCATCAGACCTTAATTCTTGAATCTTGGTGCCTGAAGATATTTCCTTTGTAACTATCTATGTACATGAGAAAACTAAGCAAACTATTGAGGGTCTCTTTTAATGTCAAAGAGCAATAGTGGTTTCATGTGAACATAAGCTGTAATAGTTTAGGGAAGTTCTTTTCTGTCCATCACCCTCTAAAGGTAAGAAATGTTAGACACCTTCAATGCAATTATCTCAGAGGCAGTTTCAATAAAATGGAGATCAAAGTAAATGAGAGAAACGGAAGGCATAGAGAGAACAATAGTAATAATAGATTCAGAGGTGGAACAGAGTTTAGAATTGATCTCACCTAGTAGTTCTCCAAGTATGGTCCCTGACCAGCAGCATCAGCCATACCTGAGAATTTTTAAAAAAACAAATGATGGGGCTCCACCCCAGACCTATGAATCAGAAACTCTGGGGTTGGATCCCACTATCTAAAATGTAGACTAAAATAATCTAGAGCAGTGATGCTCAAATTTTAGTGTGCATCAGAATCTGGAGGGCTTGTTAAAACAAAGATTGCTCAACCCCACTCTCAAAGTCTCTGAATCAGTAGATTCGAGGTAGGGGCCCAAGAGTGTATTTTTCTACCAAATCCCCATGTGAACTGAAGCTGGTGCTGCTGGTCCAGGACTACTCTTTAAAGATCACTAATCTAAATCAAACCTTACATGGAACCAGGTGACTAGAGAAGGTAAAAGATATAAGCCTGAGGTTACACTGCCTATTGCCAAGCTGGATCTAGAGCCCAGAGCTGCTAATTACCCAGCCCAGAGCTTTTTCTATTTAATCACATGGACTTCAGTGATAGAAAACAGCGGAAACCACATGTGTACACACTTTCGGTAGAGAAAAATCTGGAGCCCTGCAACTATAAACAATTTTATGTTTCAGAGAAACCCTGATTAAGTAATGACCTATGGAGGCTTTGCAACTATTGTTGGAGTGTGGCTATTATATCCGTATAATTTCAGTTTCTTTTGTCTTCTCCCTTCTTTTGCACCCAGGACAATTTGATCATAAATCTACTGTAACTAATTCCAATAATTTATTATAATACATTCAGTAGCAATGATCATTTAGCTCCAAGTGATAAAATTTTCCTTAACTAGTCTTAAGTAAAACAATAATATGCCCTTTACTAAACACAAACCATAATATCCAGTGGCCAATTAGGATCTAGGCTGAGAGATGATGGAAAGCTCCTTTCTAGCTCTAATTCCAGAAGTCACAGTGGTGGTAATGATAACCACAGCAGCTAGTCCTTTTCAGTGCTGCCTATATGACCAGCATGGGGAAAGTGATTTACAAGCTCGATCCCATTTAATCCTCAAAATTCTATGGTATGCTTATTGTTATTATTCTCATTCCCTTAAGGAGGAAGTTAAAACCGTGAGAGGTTAAGTAACTTTGGTCAATTAAAAGGTGGTAGAACCAGGATTCAAGTCCCAGATAAATTAGGCTCCAAGTCTATACTTTTACGTCCCATTTAAAGTTATCTCTTACTAAACCAACCTAATCACAAAGAATTATGATAACAATTATTTGACTGGAAGTTTTATAAACGTAATTTTAATTTATATAAGATTGTAATAAATGATACATAGAAATCCAATGTACGTTTTACCCAGTTTCCTCCAATAGTAGCATCTTGAAAAACCACAGTACAATATCACAACTAGGGTAATGACATTGATATAACCCAACAATCTTATCCAGATTTCCCCAGTGTGATACTATTTTAAAGGAATTATCTGTCTTAAAAATTAGTAAGGATAATGGAGGTCTATGAATACTT